TCCACGAAAAATTAACTCATTAATTCAGAAAAACAGAGCAAAAAAAAAAAATTCCATGAAAAATTAACTCGTTAATTCAGAAAAACAGAGCAAAAACTTTTTTTCTCATGAAAAATTAACTCGTTAATTCAGAAAAACAGAGTAGATTTTTTTTCTTCAAGTGAATGCAATACGCCTCCATATCTTTGTCATGACAACTTGACATAAAATAATTAAGTTAAACTGTCATGTGGTTGGTTTGACATTGGCTGTCATGAGGCCATTATAACTGTGTCATGATTATATTTTCAACTACAGTGGTACACACTGAATTTGTCATTAAAAAGGTATAATGGCTTCATGACAGCCAAAGTCAAACCCAACCACCTGACAGTTTAATGTAATTTTAGCCAATAAAGCTAGGTAGTTTCTTAAGTGTGATAATTAATCTCCTATGTCATGTTTATGACAGGTTGTGTTGTCTTAGTAATGTCAAGTTGTCATGACAAAGACACACAGCAAAGTCCAATTACATACTGTGCATAACTTAATTCAATTATACAAAAATTAATAACAGGGATTTGTAACACAAAGGTCTGGTTTAAAGGTGCAGTGTGTAGTTTTTAGCAGCTTCTAGTGGTGAGGCTTGCGAATTGCAAACAACAAGGCCTCTCCCTCCCTTTGCAAACACAAATTTGAAGCTACGGTGGCCAACGTAGGATAAAGTGCGTCGTCGTCTGAGTCTGCAGAGAGTAGCAAGTCAAGCCATGAGGCTTCTTTATATTATATTTTATATTAAATTGTATTTACTTAATTATTCAGTAACACCACATGTTATAGAGAGCCTAAGTCCCGCCCCTCCTCTTCCGGCTCATGGGACCTTATTTCGGAAAAAAATATGTATGGTAGTCAATGGCGAGAGACAACCTCTCTTTTTATTCTGTCTGAACTGTGCCCTTGAAGATTGAAAATCTCTTAATTTAATGTTGTTTTTAGTACTATTATTAATTTTCATTAATATTCATAATCTGAAATATTATGTATCTGTTTTATCTCTTTTTGTATATATGTATACACACATAATCATTTGTAATCGATGAGCCGAGTGAACATGCAAATTCATTCCCTGACATTAGATGGCGCTTGATGTAAAACAGAAATAATAATAGAATACTTTACTGGGGTGATCATATTCATGTCTCAATGATAGAAATAATGTCTTCTGTATTAGAAAAATAAATATATAAATAATAAATAACTAAAAGAAATGCCTCCAAATGTAACAAAAAATAGCTCTCACAAACTTACAAAAACAAACTAACAAAATCTATTATATCTTTAGTTTTCATCCTCTTTATCCTGTTTTTTCTGCCTCATCCGCCTTGTTTGCCCATCTATATTTTGCTGTAGAACTGATCTTTCCCAGCAGTTTTTTGAAAACCAGGACATTTTCATCACTTAAAAATAGCCAGGACAGGACGTGGAAACAGGACATGTGTAACGCAAAGTTGAGATGTTGCCCAGAGATAAAAACATAGCACTAGTTGTCGGATTTCCCCGCGTTTTATAAAACCACTCAAACGTTACACTCGTAGGCAACAATGCTACTAACACGACGCGTCATCAATCCGGAAGTCGGTCGTTTTGGAGGCACAGAACATAAATGGCCGACTTCCGGATTGATGACGCGTCGTGGAATAACAGAGAAGCTAACACAGCAGCGGAAAGATGGGAGCGAGAAAGTGAGCTGAGGTTTCGTCTGAAAGTAACTGGTAGGGGAGTTGGTGAAATGTGGATAGTGAGTTGTTGATTGAAGGTTATGAGGAAATGATCTGAAACGTGGAGAGGTTTCACCAAAATGTTGTCTGTGATGCAGTTGCGTGTGTAAACCAGGTCCAGTTGGTTGCCTGACTTGTGAGTACTTGTGGTGATGAGCCGTTTGAGATCGAATGAGGCTAGAAGAGAGACAGTTGACCTGGGGGGCGATATGTGACTACAATGTGGATCTTAATGGGAGTTGTAAATGTAATAGCATGATATTCAAATGAGTTGTTATTGCATAGAGAAGAGAGTGTTGAGTATTTCCAAGTTTTAGTAATGAGAAGACTAGCACCCCCTCCCCGCCTGGCGGGGGGTGTGGGAGAACGAAGTTGTTAGAGAGAGCAGCAGGGGTTGCTGAGTCTTCTGGACGGATCCAGGTGTCAGTCAAGCCTAAGATATTAATAGTAGAATGAGATGCAAAGGCTGGGATGAAATCAGCATTATTGACTGCTGATTGACAATCCCATAGACCATAGATTAGCAGTGTTGCGCTGCCTTCTGTGCTTAATGAAAGAGCGTTGTCGAAAGACAACAGGAACGTATTGAAAGCACATGTTGTTTTAAGGAAGTAGAATACAAATATGAATGGAAAAGGGAGAAGAAGATACTTACGTGCTTGCTTAGCTGGTGTCTTTGCTCGGTGGAGTCGCACAGGTAGAGTCGATGGTCTTTGGACACAAGGAGGCTGAAACGCTTCTGCTGAGGCTTCCGCGACAGCGCGCACAATGCATAGATATAATGTGCTCAAACTACTAATTGAGGACAGCTGTCTCAGGCGAGCAATTAACACCCCAGACAGCAAACTGACATTGAATCAACGTGGAAACGACGTCTCTCATGACATTGAAACAACGTTGATTTTGCTCATCGAATTAACGTTGAACCAACGTCAGACGCGGCATTCTTCAAAGCTAAATGAAAATCGAAAATTGGTTTGCTTTCATAACGTTGAAACAACGCGTTGATTTCAAGTTGATTTTCCGTTAGTTTTGAAAGAATGACGCGTCTGACGTTGGTTCAACGTTAATTCGATGAGCAAAACAATGTCAGATCAACGTTGTTTCGATGTCATATTTCCACGTTGATTCAATGTCAGTTTGCTATCTGGGACAGCACACTTAAATAATCACTTAAGTGCTATGCAATTTAGATTGCAATACTATTCGAACTCGCTAAGAGCAGGATGCGTGTAATTAACCCAGATTTGTGAGAAGGTAAAAGGAGAAGGAGAAAAGATAGCCCTACCTTGTGATAAATAAGCTGTTAAATAAATTTTATTAATTTTATACAATTAAATTAATAAGATGTGTTTGCCTTTCTCTGGATCTAGGAAGTTGTAAATTATGTTATGTTACTATAATATTTAAATTTCTGTTATACACATGCATTGCTTAGTGTATTCAATAGCTATGTTACATAATACAGTATCAACTACACACCTAGGACAACAACATCTTTACCTTTAAGCCGACAAAGAGCCTCTGTCCTTCTCTCTTCCCAGAAGTCCTTTATTGTATTGACGCAGTAAGTGTCCTGAAGGTGTTCCTGTTCACCATCCCCAATATTCATGAATTTGAACAAGAGGGCAACCTTTGCAAAGTTGTTGCCAGACAACAAAATGTTGGTGGATAAGAGAAAATCTCCACCTCCACAAGCTGTGTCCATTAGGACAGATCTAAAAGTCACACAGAAGAAACATTTGCTTTTGTCATGTACAGCACTGGCTTGTATCTGTAAACAGACACCACAAAACAATTGCAAATAAAGAATGACAAATAACACACCGTATCAAAATTGGTGGAAGATACTCTTCATCCGAGCTGAAACCATTCTGCCCCATCATTTCTTTCAAGGGAGTAAGGGGAAGCTTCATCTGTCCTATCAATTCTGTACATATTGACAGCTTCCAGTAAAAAAAAAGTTCTCGAGTAATTTACATGAAAAATAATGAATGTAATTATGAAGTACTATTTAAACACTGTTCATGGCTCATTGAAAACACTTTCCTCCAAACCGGAACGTCGGCAACCAAGTTGTTGCATGGGGGAGCAACTTCCGGTGCAACACCGGTACGGTTCCTGTGGCACATCATGGCCGCCCCCGTTGACAAGCGCCAGCTGCAATCACTAATCATGTCGTTATCGGCGAATACATTAAGGTGAAGGGGGCGGAATGACGGAAGGGCAAAGTTGAACGAGGAAGAATAGAAGAGCGTGTGATCATCTGGTGTGATATTGTTTCACGAAAAAATATAGTACGCCTATAACTAATGCTATAATTAGTGATGGGCAGATCGAGGCTTTGTGAAGCAATGAAACAGATGAAGCAAATGTGCTATATTGATTCGAGGCTTCGAATCAATCCGACACCCGTCTCCATGGTGACACCTAGTGGTCAATTGCAGGTGTTGATCTGAAACAACCTTTACAACAATGTGTTTTTTATTATTGTATTTTTTTAAAAATATATGATGCTTGTAACCTGTAGTCTCTTCACATTGCATAATGTTATTTTGGTCATGAAAAATTAATATTAATAAAACAAATCAAGCCACAATGTCTCACTTTCTTATAGATTTTTATTTAAAAATATTAATTTCTCTTCTGTTGTTTCTATTAATCTGAGATATTGTGCACACAGAATGCCTATTCTTAAAGTCTTTTGCTGTTTTATGAAGGCAAAAAGCCATATAATGGTTTCGATTTTATATGTGTGTGTGTGTGTATGGGGGGGGGGGTGTTTTAAGCAAAAACAGGCCTATCACGAATAGCTACAGTGGCGTAGATCGTAGAGCGCATAGTTCTTGAAAAAGCGATTAATGTGCTCGTGCTCGAGTTCGAGTTTGGCTTTTGCCGAACATGAGATGTAAAAAGTATAAACTAACATTGTCTCTAGCGTTATATTTTGCCAATTAACTTAAATCGAAACCATTATATGGGTTTTTGCCTTCATAAAACAGCACAAGACTTTAAGAATAGACATTCTGTGTGCACTTTGCTCACGCGATCCTTCCGACCGACCTATCAATCAAACCCTGATTCGGCGGAGCACTCCACCTGATGAAACACTAGAAGCTTCATTTAGCCTTTGTCACGTGACTGTGGGTGTTTTGAATCACGCTTCGGATCAGTGTTTCGAATCATTTTTGCTTCGGGATCTCGCAAAGCTTCGGAACGTCTGTTTCGCGTCAGCCATCCCTAGCTATAATGTGTTGCAATAGTTAATGTAGTTAGTGTGTTGTCAAAACGAGAACAGAAACTTATACTACAGAGACGGGTAAGAAGTATTTCTCCACAAAATATTTATGGTTGTGTAATCCAGCCTCCATTTACTAATACAGCAAATGGACTTGTTAGAGAGACTGAACAGTGTCTGTCTTGCTCGGATGGATTGTGTGTTTAGTTGGTGAGTCGTCAGCATGAGGATTCGTGGCAGTTTCAGTTGAAGATGATTCCAGATGACTTCGATCGTGGGGTTGACGGACATCTAACGTCGTGAGGTGAAACACGCTCTTCTGGTTGGATACTTAAGGTATTTTTTTTTTTGTATGCTCAGTGTTGAGTGAAGCGGTCTTTTTATTTATTTTTTGACCACAACGTACCCCAGCTTCAAACAGGCCTGCAACGTGAAAATTAAAGACTTACTGAATGAGGTTAAGTGTGAGCTCACATACTGCCGGCTTAGTATTTGTTTGAAGAGTCTTTTGAGTTTGAGAGAGTTGGGGACTCAAATTTAAAAAGTATACCAAAAAAGAGGGTAACAAATAATTACTTACAAAATGTGAATATGTGAAATGTGTATTTGATTTTGTTTTCTTTATTCATCTGTGTGAATTGGTGACATTCCTGTTTCATAAAATTGTTATTTTATTTTACAACCTGAAAAAATCCTAAAACTTGACCCCTTTTTTCAATTTTATCTAGTAAATTGTTATTTGCAGTATACTTCAGTGATTTTTGAGTGTTGATATATTATTAGGTTCTCTTTTATTGGACAATTACTTTAAACGAAGATAAATCCTAAAATCCTTATTCTGTAGTGTTTATCTGATTTTAGATGATAGTGAGAGTTTAAGGGACCCAAGGAACTAAGTAACAAACATATAAGTTACAGTGAGTAAATAATCACACTTTGCTCACAATAGATTTGATAAAACAGAGTTTATTCATACGAACTCAGAGCGCTCCATCATCTATCTATAGGAAAGGGTTAAAAGCGCTACACTTGCTTGTTGTTGTTGTTGCCCATGTTTTTACAACTGTGTCTGAAATTATGCTAATGTCCAGCACTTTGGTTAACCTCGGTTGTTTTAAATGTGCTTAACAAATAAAGTTGGTATGGTATGGTATGGTATGGTCATTGCGTCACTGCATTATGATATTAAAAGGCTCCAATACAGTGCGGCACAAAGTGCTTTTGCACATCCCGAGCAGAGAATGATGCGCTTGAAGCCACATGTAGTTACAGCGCTCAGCGTGTCGAGTCCGCATTGAAAAGTTTAAAGCACAAAGGAAATACATATTGATGGACAGTGAATTATACATTATCTATCTATGCAATAGTTTATTGAGCCTTTTCTTTTAACAGTTTTAAATTTCAGTTACTGTGCGTGTGAAGAACAATTATAGAGCTCTGACTCTACTCTAGTGTTGTGATCACCCGGTAGAAAGTAACACGATTAAGTTACAGCAATAAAGTCCAGCAAGATAGAGTTTCTTTATTCAAAACCATAGACCTTTATCTACAGATCAAGTATAATAGTATTAACATTGAATCATCTTGAAAATAATTTCATCATTGACTAACCGAACGCGACTGGCTGTTTGTGTCCCATTTGTGGGGCTTAAAGGGTTGGTTCACCAAAAAATGAAAATTAAGTCATTAATTACTCACCACCATGCTGTACTAACCCCGTAAGACCTTCGTTCATCTTTGGAACACAAATGAAGATATTTTTGATTAAATCTGAGAGGAGGATCACTACTACATGGGCTGCCTAAGGGACTGGCACTTGACGGCCCATAAAGTCATTAAAGAAAATGTTTAAATATTCCATGTGCCTACAGCGGCTCAATTATAAGTTTATCAAGCGACGAGAATACTTTTTGTGCGAAAAAAAACCCATAAATAACGACTTTATTCGACTATTCCATTACTTACATGTGGGCCTTGAGACTTGAGAGTTGAAGAGATATATAAGAAATATATTCTTAAAGGGTTAGTTCACCCAAAAATGAAAATTAAGTCATTAATTACTCACCCCCATGCTGTACCAACCCCGTAAGACCTTCGTTCATCTTCGGAACACAAATGAAGATATTTTTGATTGAATCTGAGGGCTAGATCAGTCATCCATAGACAGCCTGAGGGACTGCCTCTTGACGGCCCAGAAAGTCATTAAAAGAAAAGGTTTAAATATTCCATGTGCCTACAGTGGCTCAACTATAACTTTATCAAGCGACGAGACTACTTTTTGTGCAAAAAAAAACGTAAATAACGACTTTATTCGACTTTCCATTACTTCCTTATGGGCGCATGCGCGAGAACGGAGACGAGACCGTTCTTCTTCGACTACTTTTTGTTACCGGCTGCTCACCGCTTAGGAGTTTTACCGCCCCCTACCGTATAAGATGACGTACCGATCTAGCCGGAGGCGCAAAACGTTCTGTTTACAAGCAGTACGTCATCTTATACGGTAGGGGGCGGTAAAACTCCTAAGCGGTGAGCAGCCGGTAACAAAAAGTAGTCGAAGAAGAACGGTCTCGTCTCAGTTCTCGCGCATGCGCCCATAAGGAAGTAATGGAAAGTCGAATAAAGTCGTTATTTACGGTTTTTTCCGCACAAAAAGTAGTCTCGTCGCTTGATAAAGTTATAGTTGAGCCACTGTAGGCACATGGAATATTTAAACCTTTTCTTTTAATGACTTTCTGGGCCGTCAAGAGGCAGTCCCTCAGGCTGTCTATGGAAAAGTGATCCAGCCCTCAGATTCAATCAAAAATATCTTTATTTGTGTTCCGAAGATGAACGAAGGTCTTATGGGGTTGGTACAGCATGGAGGTGAGTAATTAATGACTTAATTTTCATTTTTGGGTGAACTAACCCTTTAAGAGATATATTCTTAATTTGCTTCCCAGGTATCAGGGTTTGCTGAAGATGAAATGGAGGGAAAGCAGTATCCAAGCGCAAGGTGAAGGCCAAATGTACATTTCTGCTGTGTGTGTATATCCTGCCACTTATTAAATTCTTAATTCTTAAGATTATGCCCTTCAGATAATTTCCTCTAGTCAGTAGATTGCTCAGATAAAATTGCTAATTTTTTCATGACCGATACTCAAACGATCCAGGCGAGCCTGTATTTCTTTGCGCTGTTTACCGACGTCAGAGTCCTCAAACAGGAGCTCGCTCACATTTGCCCCATCCAGTAAACTCAACATGTCAATAGACAGGAGATGAGCAGTCTGCTTCCGCATGAAAAATGAGATCATCATGGGCAGTTGGTCAGCCATTCGCTGCACCACAATCTGAAAGAAAATCAAAGGTACTAAGCACTACAGTCCATTCAGTCTCTGAACAAAGCTTCATATTTGTAATTGAAAACTAAGAAGATTTACCTCATAATATGACTGCAGCATTTCACTGTACTTGCATTTGAGGTCAAACAGAGGTAACTGCTCTTCTGAAAACTCTTCTTTGGCGATCTCATTTAAGACCTTTAAGTAGATTTCATCTTGAGTGTAGACCATGTCTTCCATTTCAAACTGCTCTGAGATCCTCTGTTCTGCCTTCTCTTGTTGGATTGACTGAATGTTGTGAATTTTGTCCTATAGAATTAAGTAAAGTACAGAGGAAGCTTGTTTAATAATGGATGATTGTTTAGTTTTGTTTATCACTAATAAGGAGGAATATTTACCGTAGTGATGTCTAGAAGAGCAGGATATTTCTGGAAGCATTGATTTACTACATCAGTAAACTGCTTGGTGATTATGGCTTCAAGATAATAAAGAATACAAAAATCAAAATGACAAATAGCTACAATGTCTCACAATTCAGATCTGCTAAAACTTCAAAAATTCCCAGTGTTGTTTAGTTGAAATTTCATCTATTGGTTTTATGATGGAAAATTTCCCCAGTGAGCAGAAAGATCTTTAGCATGGAGATCATTTTATAATGCTTTGTAAGTTTTTATGTCATAACAAGTCATATGTTTGCATTGTTTTTTTATGTCTTTGTTTTTATTTTCTATTTTATAGCTTCTGTACAACACTTTGGTTCCACTTTGGGTCTTGAAAGTGCTCTATAAATGAAGTTGAGTTGAAACCTTTGGTACCTTTGATGGAATTGAGTAAGACGATGGCTGGTTCTTTAAGTTTGGCCACATGCTCTTGCAGAAGCACCTCAAACATTTTGTAGTTGCAGAAGCCGGGCAGTTCCCTTCCTCTGTAACTCTGGATAGTTCCTAACATCTCTTGAGTCGAATTGTTCACTTGTTTGGGAACAAGGCAGATTTCTTTTGAAATTATTTGACTTTCATTTGAAGAGCACACATTAAATTACATTTTTTTTACATTTCATAAATAAAAAAATATATACTAACAGGTTGTCTTTGTGTCATTAAGATGAGCATTCCACATCTTAAATTCAGCCCGAAGTTGTACAAACAAATTGTTCTCAATGATCAGCTCTCCTGATGATAAGGACTTGATTTGATCATTGAATCTTGTAATAGTCTGTGGGAACAAAAATAATATTTTTTACCTAAAAAGTTACATAACATTAATCAAAGAGAAAAAAAATATGAACTGACATAAAATATTTATTTTGGCAATTCTAGAGGATTTAGCATATTGCAATAATTTATTATAGCCATTACGATTACACAATTACTGGGAGAAATGTAATTTAGCATAATATGGCTGCGTCTCACAAAGTTTGGTACACATCAGCTGCTTGGAACCCAAATAATAATTTTGAGAAGCAAGGAAATTAAATGAAGATTAAATTGTTACTTCAATGAGGAATAGTTTGGCCCCCTTAGGATCCTGTGGTGGTCCAGCCTCACACTCTTTGAGCTTATTCCTCAGGTCCCACAGCTGTTTTTTTATCTGCTCATTGAGGTGTGGCAGAGATTTCTGACAAAAATGGGTAAAAAAATAAAAATAAAATCACACAATGCATTTGAAAAATATGAACAGAGAATTAGGCTCAAAACCAATGAGCTACCCAATTTAAATGTTTACCTCATTAGCAATTATACTGCTAATGAGGTGTATGAAACAACATACTAAACATATAACCAGTTAAAAAAAAAGTAAATAACTCAATTTTCATAGTGTAGGGTAGGGTTTCTAAAATTCAGCCCTGGAGGGCCACTGCCCTGCTGGTGCTTTAGGTCCCCCAGAACCAAACTTCTGCTGAGGGCTTTGGACCTGTTGCAACCTGGGCCCGGTTCCCCGATAACGCTCGCTCTTAGGGCGCTATAAGAAGACTTAAAAAGATATATCTTACAATATTATTAGTTCTGATACCAAATAAATTCAACTTCATAAATAGGCATGTAACCATTGCGAACATATTTTATTATTAGTCTTAAAATGTTCATAACATAAAATCATTGTTGAGCCACAACATTGTCAACATACTATAGTTTGACTTGTACTACGCTGCGCTGATTTCTAAAGACTCCTGCACAGTGGCGGCGACTAGCGTCTTGAGCTCAAACAACGCTAAGAGAAAGCTTACAGAAGATATACAGTACTTAGCATACGAAAATGTCGGGAATCGTGCCATAAGGTTAAGAGAGAGGTTAAGGAATAGGTTAAGAACTACTTGCGAATAAGAACGTTTTGGGGAACCGGGCCCTGGTCAGACACAGAATTTATTAACTGTTCTAACACAATCAAGTTAGACAGACCCTCAAAACTTCAGAAGCTGTACACCAATGATTAATCCAGCTTTAACAGTCTCTTTAAGTTTTTTTTCTCAATCTGATAATGTTCAGCTATTTCAATTAACTGCTCCTTAGTACACAACTCTAAGGCTAACTCTGAAGTAGCCTGAACAAAATTACTCAGAATCAGTTTGTTGCAAAAATGACTAAATGAATTTTCCTCATCCTCAAACCATACAATATTACAAATGTGGGGGGCATTGATGCTGACACGCATGTACGTGTCCAGATGCTGTCCTTGTAGCCTATTCCTCAGGTCTGACTTCACCTAAAAGGTGACTAGCTAACATGGCCTATTTTACTACACTGACCTCCAGGGACGTGGAGAGAGTTCATCAGGCGTAGGGGCTAAATTGTAAGAATGGGGCAATATGTAAATATGACTTGACTGTACTTTTATTTAATCCAAAACTGCATTCATATTTAACTTTAAAAGGGCTTTTTAAACCTGCTAAGAGTTATCCAGCCAAGATTTAGCCTAGAACTGCTTTTCTGACTAACTAATATTAATGAAATAAATAGGGATGCACCGATACTGATTGTTCTCAAGTGGCGGTCCGATACTGTGCTCATAGGCTACTTGAACACTATCAAATGTGTTTGTTGCAAAAAAAATAAAACAAAAAATTCATATTTTTATGAATGACATTACCTCTTCTTAAAGGGATATTACACTTTTTTTTGGAAATAGGCTCATTTTACAACTCACCCAGAGTTAAACAGTTGAGTTTTACTGTTTTCAAATGTATTTAGCCGATCTTCTGATATTTAGAAGAATATCAGTAGCCAGACAGTTTCTGGTCTCATTGACTTCCATAGGATATTTTTTTCCAACAATGGAAGTCAATGGGACCAGAAACTGTCTGGTTACTGATATTCTTCTAAATATCAGAAGATCGGCTGAATACATTCAAAAACGGTGAAACTCAACTGTTTAACTCTGCGGGAGTGGTAAAATGAGCCTATTTCCAAAATAAAAATCTGGAGTATCCCTTTAAAGCAGTGAATTCCTATTTCAAAATGAACTTTGCATCCCTGACCATTAGTAACTTACTTTTATATGATCAACGAGATGCTGAGTCAGTTTGACGGCAAGACATTTAATAGTCGCTTTATCTTCTTTCAAGAGGCATCTGTGGAAAAATAAAGGACACTTTTTGAAAGGTGCTATACTATATAGCTTGATAACCTGGTATTCCAAAAACACAGAACTGCTTTGGCCAAGGTGAACATTACTAACATCAGCTAACAAACTTTATAAACAAAATTATTAAAAGTATAGCATTTGCTTAATATCCTAACTTCAGTTCAGAAATATTAGAAAAATGGTTGCATAGGGAAAAATATAGCCTTATCTAAACAGTGCAAATCAATTTACATTGACATACATTTTAGAGAACAAAATGTTAAATACTGGTTAAAAAGTTATATATTCTTTTCACATTATAACCTGAAAAAGTCATGCTTTTGGAAGAAATCTCTCTCTTTTTCTGCCGCCTCCTCCAGAGAAATTTTATCATTGATCTGCTGTTGTCCTCTACACTTCACCATCGTGTAACCTTTGCTGAGAGGAATCACTTTGTTATGAACAATGTCCAGTATGTCCTTCTCTGTTCCCCTGTCTATGAGATCTGGCTTGGTCAAAATGGCTGTGAAAAAAGGTACATTATGCAAATTTGCTTACAGAAGTGCTTTAAGCTATTTGTTGATGGATGATGTGCAGATCATCTGCTTAATTACCGACAGTTCTTTTGCCCTCAGGATCCACTTTTTGTGCCATTTTTAAAGCTTCTGTTGTTGCAATGTCAATGTTACAAGCGACCACCACCAGGTTTATAGTCTCTTGCCTCTCAATATATTTCATTATCAGACATTTGATCTATATAAGACATGAACAAATAGATTAAAATCTGAACTGAACAAAGGTACTGAATGTGGCATTCAATTAAATCAGATTATACTTTTCACCTTGCTTTCAATATCTTCTGGTTGTCCTGGGACTGGGACTCTGGCAATTCCAGGTAGATCGATTAGTGTGAGATCACACACATCTGGTGACATGACCTCTAAAGTGATGAGGTCATGACATATTCCTACCCCTTTTCCTGCCAGCTCATTCTGGGCTATAGAGCACACATACCACATAATTAAATGAATGCAGTCAAACTGAGTTTAATACAAATCACTCCTGGATGGTTATGCAGGACTAAAAGGTTGTACAGTATAATACAGTTGACTACAGTAGACAGTCACAGTACAGTAGAGTTAACACCCTGTAACAAAGAAGCATATGCAACAATTACAAATGACTATCCTTCCCAGTATCCTATGGAAGCTTATGTGTAGCAATATTCAATTTGAAATGTAATATGCAAAATGACAATGCAATGCGATATGGCTCTTTCCAGGTAGCCTATGGTTTGTGAGCCATTTATTAGTCTGGCTAATTATTGATATTATTCACACTATTGATTTGTGTGATGAGACAGAGATTAAATGTAGTTGTAATAAACTCTTTAATAATCCATACAACTGTATCAGATGACTATTATTCTTTTGCGCTAATGTCTTTAAAAAGGTACTAGTAAAGAATAGTCTCTATGCACTAGCACCTAAAGAATAAGTACTAGTAACCAGTGTTGGGAGTAATGCATTACAAAAGTAATACATTACAGTAACATATTAGTTTTTGCTGTAGCGCAGTAGTGTAAGGCATTACTAATCAATTTTCAGTAATATTTTACTCGTTACATGTTCAGTGAGGCTTGTATTACAGTTGTATTACAGTGTATTGTCTGCTTTTACTTCTTAAAGGCAACAGACTATGTGAAAGTTTTAAAGCAGTCTTTTAGTGCCAGTTCAGAGCGGTCGCGTCTGTAACATTGTTTTTTCCTTATAAATGCGAACACGAAAACTAAAATAAAATGAATATTTTAAGTTCTATGGAGACTGCAGAGCCAACCCTTCCTCATCCGATTTGCGCAGTGTAATTAACAGAATTACAAAAAATCGATTTTGCCTCCTATTATTTGTCACGCATGAATGTGTGTCTTTTCCCTAATATTAAAAATAAAACATAGACTGATATTTGTCTAATGTCTGGAGTCCTTTAAGGAAGTAGCCTATATACGTTTCAATACATGAATTTTCTGAGAATTTTTATTTCAAGTTTTGACTGCAAATGTCCATAATGCTGGACTTCCCCAATTTTAAATAATTTATCCTCAACTAGTTTTGTGGTGTAGAGGTCTACGTATTTTATAATGTTAACTTCAAATAATACTAATAGCCTAATTTAAAGATAAGGCAGCATTGGATATGGACGGTAAGGAGAATAACGCTGGAGTTGGAGGTGTGTCGTGATTCTGTAGGTTCGTGGATCTGAGTCGTGTGGCGAATGGCGATTTCGGTTTCATATTGCATATCGTTACAGCCCAAAAGTTCTACTTATTTTGGTGAAAGTAACTCAAAAGTAATACATGAGTAATGTAACGCATTACAATTCTGAGACAGTAATATTGTAAGGTAATGAATTACTTTTAAATAACAGTAACAAGTAATACCTAATGTATTACAGTTTGGAAGTAACTTGCACAACACTGCTAGTAACCAATGAATAAGTACCTAATGGAAGATACTTGTGTCTAAAAAATAAGTAGCATGAAAATAGATGCATATTAAGTATTGAATGTTAAAACAGCTTTCTAAGCCACATAGCCTACATTAATAGGTAGCTACATAGTATAGTATTTTTTACATGCTTTAAATTCTTCCAACCAGAAAACAAAACAGATTGCAGGCATTTTTTCCTAACCTTCTTCAATTTGTTTTCCAACTAGCGAGGAATCCAGAAATTCTATTTTCTTATTATTATAAGATATAACAGCCTTCCAGCTGACTCCACCAGTAACCTTCTTCAGCTTCAGCTCTAGTGGACATCTGGTGACAATTCCTATTGCAAACACAGTTCACTTAGCAATTACAGTGACAAAAACTGGTACTGAATATATCACTCTTATTATTTGTATTATATTTTCAATAGGCCTATGTATGAATATCAATACAATAAAAGGAGAGTAAACCAGCACTCACCGCTTCCTCTTGGTAGTGCAACTCCAGAAATCGCTTCCAACACAGAGCTTTTCCCAGAACTCTGGTCTCCGATCACTGCAATAGTCGGTAATGCCAAGTCCTTGTCAATGCCAACTGACCGCAGAGTGTCGATCAGGTCAATGTATGGACGGATGCTCTCTTCTAAAAGACTGTGAACTGCTCCCTTCATTTTCTGACTGTAAATTGAAAAAGTACATTTTATTTCTGATTGCACTGTATTATTTTCTTATTTATTATAGTCTTACTTTTTTGATTTGCTATATTTAAACTATGTGTACAAATTATCCTTTTTTTTTACTCCAGTGCATGCTAAAAACTAAACTAGGATTACAAAAGTATTTAAAATATGTATCTCAAAGATAATTAACGAACATTATATACTAACCTTTCATTTTGAGCGTCGTCATTATCGTGATGAGCACTTTTGTTTGAATAAAAAGAAAACATACCTTGTATTTTACAATTACAATTTTTTTAATGCCTCTCAAATATGTTAGTTTCTTATCCAAACAAAGTGTTTGTGGCGATGATAAATAGAAACCAAATCCTGTGTGTCCGATTCTAATTTATAGTGTATCACACCCCCTTAAGAATGAAAGTAAAAGTAGATCAGACATTTGTGAGGGGTTGTGATAAGAGTTCATGGAAAAATACCAGGGGAGTGTTTGGGGATGGGCAGCTGCGTTGTGTATAGCATCTGGACTAACCGAACACACACAAATTAGTCATTTAATATTTAATGAATCATCCAGCAAACTCACTCTCAGAGCAAAGGTCTGTGGAACTTACCCCCAATCAAGCTAACTCACACAAACACTGTTATAAAAAAAATTTCATGTTTTAACATTATTTTTCTTTTCCTTTTCATTCTACATTATTCATACAACAACCCGTCACTACAAGCCAATTTTATGCCGAAAACTAGCTCATGGGGCGGATGAAGGAGCCGCTCTGACTGATTATTGGTTAACAAATTGGCACCTGAGGAAGTCAGACCAATTTTTCATTCCTTGAGTAGAACCATAATACAGAGCATATTTGCTAAACCTTGCCGGATCGAGGTGACAGAACCGGGTCTGTTGAAGACGTTTGACAGATTAAGACGCGTCGAAAGTAAAAATCCAAGAGAGAAGATTCAGCCAACATGGGATCATCCAGCCCGTTCTCATCCTTTAACGTTATATAGAACGCTATATGCAAAAACGGCGCTATAATACGCACATGGCACCCTTTATCGTTAATATAACACGCGAACCCAAGACGTTATAAATCCTTTAGCGTGAATATGACACGCACACCCTACCCCACACTTAGCCCTCACAGCACGTGTTATATTAACGATAACGGGTGCCATGTGCCAACGCATTCTCACCCCAAGGCGTCACCTTTGACCATGCTTCAATATTTGACGTTTTAGGCGCCCTTTAGCGTCACTTACATGACGCGATCCTACGGCGTCATCTAACTGACGCTAAAGGGCGCCTAAAGCGTCAGATATTGAAGCATGTCCAAATGCTTCCCAAGGCCTCAGTTAAATGACGCCTTGGGGGTGAGAATGGGCTGCATGTGCGTAGTATGGCGCCGTTTTGTCATATAGCGTTCTATATGACGTTAAAGGATGAGAATGCGTTGGATCATCTTATAGTAGGCCTAGGCAAGATATATTTTTTTTTACACACCAGTTTTCTTTGTGTGTGCGTGTGTGTGTGTGTTTAGAGCAGTGTTTTCCGATGAATGTTTGAAGAAACTTGGTTTGAAATGTTGTGAATGAGGGAACATTGAGCGCTACGAGATTAAAAGTAGTGCTGGAATCAGTTGAACAGGGCAGTGAGAAACAAAAAAGGTTGTTATGGCTTAGTTCAACGAATAGGAAGATAAAAAGGAGAAATACAGTTTTTACTTCTTCATCCAATGGATGCATGACATTAGATTTCTAGAGAATTTGCATTTACATGATAAGGATTGAAGTAGCAAGCAGCAAGGCTGTCTGTGTGAAATAGATGGAACTGCATGTGAGAAATGTGTTTGGGGATTGTATGCAAACAATCATGTACTGGTTAGATAATGAAGCAGGGTTGCCAACTCTCACGCATCTGGCGTGACACTCACGCATTCAGCCTCAATCTCACGGTCTCACGCTCAACATAGAAATCTCACGCTAAATTAGACATTCTTCTGGGCTGTATTTTTTTTGTATTACTATAAGCAAGTTCAGGCTCTTAACTACTGATTGGACGCAGAGAAAAATAGCGGAAAAAGACTACACTGACACCGACAGACTACAGAGAAGTTTACTCTTGATATGGAGCGTTTTGGCGCTTTTAAATGTGAAAGAACGCAGTAGCGCGTCAGTTCAAACGGCACTTGATACAGTAGGCTACAACACCCACAGGGCACGAGCAAAACATTGTGTATCTGGTAATCTCCCGCTTTATATTAACAAACTGTCAACACCGGCTTTTGCGATGCACAGAGAGACGCTGCGCTGCCTATGACCTTGAACGTGAGTTGACAGCGTACATTTGCACTACGTGCCTGTCTTTTTAGCAAAAAAGATATATTTCACTAAATATCTACAGTGGCGTAGGGCGAGGGCGTGTGGTGCTTGATAGCAAATTTTGACGTGTTCGACCCGAGTTCGAATCCGGCTTTTGCCTTTAACTCTCTCTTCTCATCTGGTGTTTTCTCCAAAATAAAAGTTCAAGGGTTTATTTCTTGCAAGTGAAGAAATTAGGACAACACTATTGTAATTTTCCTATAGAATAGTGTAAGTAAAATATACTTTTTAAATATTCATTTTCATTTATACAGCAGCCTACATTTATAGGCTAGGCCTATATGGATTTTACGTAATAGGAATAATTATAAAAATCATTATTACATTATTATAATAATCGTTTGGCATCCTAAAAGAGACTGAGACTTTATATCATAAAGTCTTTATATCATAGACTTTATATCATAACTAAAAAGATGTTTGATCCCTCTAATGTCCAGGTACTGTCACAGTCTTCGTCTGCACCGTCCTGTCTTGTCATCAGCACTACACTTCCCAGGATCCTCTTGTCTCCACTTCTGAACTCACTCCCTCATCAGCCACCTGTTCCTCGTCTTGTTCATCAGTATCACCTGTCTTCACATCATTATTGTCGTCCTGCCTGTATTTATCCAATAAATGAATGTTCTTCCTGATTCTGGACTCAGCCTGTCCTTCTGCCTGAACCCGCACCCGTGACAGATTGACCGACCCCCTAAAAGGGATTTAATAATGGATTTAGCCGCTGTACAGATTCTCCTCCTGGAGCAGGAGGATCAATCCCTCGAGGCCCACACACAGAGGTATTTGGATTTGGTACCTCACGTTCACTATGATGTTACCAGCCTCTGTGTGTTCTTCCGGGCAGGCCTAAATGCTGAAACCCAGGCACGCCTGCCCGGAGACGGGCCTCGAGGGGACTTTGCGGCCTATGTGGAGTGGGTGCTGGTGTCATGTGGATCTTCTTTCACCGTGGACGACGGCACCAGCCCCACTCCAGCGCCAGAGACCGTCCAGCCTGCGCCAGAGACCGTCCAGCCAGAGCCCGAGACCGTCCAGCCAGAGCCAGAGCCCGAGACCGTCCAGCCAGAGCCAGAGCCCGAGACCGTCCAGCCAGAGCCAGAGCCCGAGACCGTCCAGCCAGAGCCAGAGCCGAGACCGTCCAGCCAGAGCCAGTGCCCGAGACCGTCCAGCCAGAGCCAGAGCCCGAGACCGTCCAGCCAGAGCCAGAGCCCGAGACCGTCCAGCCAGAGCCCGAGACCGTCCAGCCAGAGCCCGAGACCGTCCAGCCAGAGCCAGTGCCCGAGACCGTCCAGCCAGAGCCAGAGCCCGAGACCGTCCAACCAGAGCCAGAGCCCGAGACCAGGATCCCACCCAGCCTCCCTCTCCCACCTCCTCCCGTCATGCATCCGTCAGCCCCTCCGTCTGCCAGCTCCCCTGACCCAGCTGGGTCGTTGGATCCCCGGTCTTCGCCTCACACCTCCTCCTCAGAGACACTTCCTCGGCCCCCGGTCCCATCGGCTCCCCCGTGGCTGCTACCTCCCTCAGCTCCTCCATGGTCCCACAGTCCACCAGCTCGGCCAGGCTCCCTCGTCCCTCCGAATTCCCTGCACTCCCTCGTCATCCTCCCCTCACCTATGGACTTCCTTACTTTGGCTCCGCCCCGTTTTGTCACCCCTTCGGTTCAGTTGGACTCCTCACTCCCTCCAGTCACCCGTCAGCCCTTACGCCCTCTGACCTCACCATGTCCCTCTGTGCCCCTGTCGTCACTTCAGTCACCAGAGCCTGCGGTGTCCCCATGTTCCCTCGGTCCCTCCTCAGCACCCATTGTCGTTTGTCCCTCAGCTGCACCCGGGTCTCCTCTCCCATCCGCTCCGCCCCTGTCAGTCGGCCCCCTGGTGTTGTCAGCCCCACTACCATCGGCTCCACCAGGGGTCCTCCCTCCAGCTGCTCCGCCCTGGTCTCACCCTCCATCTGCTCCGCCCTGGTCTCGCCCTCATCATGCTCCGCCCTGGTCTCGCCCTCAGCCTGCTCCGCCCTGGTCTCACCCTCAGCCTGCTCCGCCCTGGTCTCACCCTCAGCCTGCTCCGCCCTGGTCTCACCCTCAGCCTGCTCCGCCCTGGCCACGCCCTCAGCCTGCTCCGCCCTGGCCACGCCCTCAGCCTGCTCCGCCCTGGCCACGCCCCGCCCAGGCCCCAGTTCGTCCCCCCTCCTTCCTCTGTTATGCGGCGTGAGGTCACGCCTCCCGGGAGGGGGGAGTTCTGTCACAGTCTTCGTCTGCACCGTCCTGTCTTGTCATCAGCACTACACTTCCCAGGATCCTCTTGTCTCCACTTCTGAACTCACTCCCTCATCAGCCACCTGTTCCTCGTCTTGTTCATCAGTATCACCTGTCTTCACATCATTATTGTTTGATTCCTCTGTGTATTTAGTTCTCCCTCCTTCAGTCTGTGGTTGTCGGTCAATGTTTAATGTTACTTGGTGAAACCCCGTCGTCCTGCCTGTATTTATCCAATAAATGAATGTTCTTCCTGATTCTGGACTCAGCCTGTCCTTCTGCCTGAACCCGCACCCGTGACAGGTACAAGTCGAGGCTTTTGCTTTGTTGAATGTCACACAGTTCATGGGTTGAAGCCAGTTAAAACTCTTAATTTTGAGCTCTCAAAGTGCACCAAATTGATGCATTTAACCTTAAAATGTACAAAATTTTCTTCCGGGGGAGCATCCCCCGAACCCCCCTAGAAGGACAGAGGTCTCAACATAGTTTTACTAAATCATATGGGAAAGAACAATAATTTATTAACTTTATTCCCAAAACTGTTTTTTTTAATCAGTAAAACTGTTAGCCTGTTAAACTGTTAAACACCCCCCCCCCCCCCCCCCCACCCAAAAAAAAAAAAATCTCACTCCAAGCAAAACTCAAATATTGGCAACCCTGATGAAGGAACTGGCATGTAGAGAAAGATTGAGAAGAAATATAGTAGGAAAACTATATGTATTTTCCTAATAACTGAGGAG